GCGGTATCTTCTTCTTGTGTTGGAGTCAAGATATTTTGTCATATAGGTCACGACTCACACTCAAAATCTTAACAACTCAAACTATTATTGGGCACTTTTTAGTTTTCATAAAAAAAAAATTTAAACTTTCGCTCTAGTCACGGATCCGCCTAAGAGTCCAAAAATTGCCATCGATTTCTTCAAAATTATCAACATCGAGAGGCTGTTACTATTCTTTACGAAGGTAAAGATGTTAATAAAGACGCATATTCTAATGATGAATCTCTAACTGGGTTTAGTGTTGATGATTCTAAAAAAAGTAGTATTGGATGTGTGGGCGGATTTGTGACTAGAACGAAAGTTGTGATTTTTTTTGACAAAAATAAGCTTTGGGGAGTAGATTTGAAATTAAACCTAAAGTTAAGGTATTTTTAGGAAATTAGGCTCTCTTACGAACAAGCCAAGACCCTAGTAGGGTTAACAGAGTCCACACGCAATGTTTCTATCCATTTTCATAAAATAGAAACTGCGCATGAATTGGATATTATAGTGCAATGTATCTGCACCTCTCGACTCGATTGAGTTTCTGATTTATACGCAAACCACCTCGCTCCATCCTCAAGTAAGGCGGTGCGCGTGGCTCTGAGATTACTTTAAGAAAGTCGTGCCGTGAATTGAACACGAGATCTGTCACATCCAAATCAAACAGTTTGTCTTTCTTAGCTTTTGCTTTTACAAAGCTCATATGTCGCCTCCTTTGATTCGAGATTTTGGCGTCTGCGTAGCCTTCGAGACTTCTACTGTTCGGGGTCTATCATCTTCCATCGTTCCATTATTGTTTTTGCCAAAAGGCAACATCAAGAACACTATATCCATGGCGCCCACCAGACCCCAACATCAAATGGCGGGTTTTGACAGAATCGGAAAAAGGTCCCATGTTGTTGTCTCTTGATTCATTACGCTCGTCTCCAAGATTTATAGTCACTGGCCCTCGCGTTCAATGTTGAATGCCACAAATAATCTTCCAACATGCATGCAAGTTGCTGGAATATAAGGACCTATTTAGTAACGTTTCTGTTCCTAAAAACAATTTTTGTTCAGAAATAATTTTTTCTATTTCTATTCCTTAGATGAGTTTCTGAAAAAAAAAACGTGTTTAGTAACTGCACAAAATTTCTATTCCCGGAGTAGAAAAATAACAGAAATGCGTTTGATAGGACACTAAAAATTTCTACTCCAAATTTTTTCATTTAGTTATAAAATTATCGATGGAGACTTAATAATTCATGTTTGGATAAAGTTGGATTAGAAATAGAATAAGAATATATTATGATATAGAATTGGATGACCTTAATACAATTATAAAGAAAATTACTCCTTATAGACAAAGCAAATACCTGGTGGTGGTCGAGAAAATTGCAGTTTAGGGGACTTAACAATTCATGTTTGGATAAAATTGGACTAGAAATAGAATAATAATATATTATGATATATAATTGGATGACCTTAATACAATCATAAAGAAAATTACTCCTTATCGACAAAGTAAATACCAGGTGGTGGTCGAGGAAATTGCAGTTCAGAATGTAGGGTTTTAGGATTTGGGGTTAGGGGTTAAGGATTTCGGTTTTGAGGTTTAGGGTTTGGGTTTTTAGGTTTTGGATTTTAGGGTTAAGGGTTTGGGGTTTAGGTTTTCGAGTTTCGGGTTTGGGGTTTTGGGTTTAGTGTTTCGGGTTTGGGTTTTGGGTATTAGGGTTTGGAATTTAGGGTATAGGGTTTACAGTTTAGGGTTTATGATTTATGGTTTAGAATTCGGGGTTTTCCATTTAGCGTTTTAGGATTTAGGGTTTGGAATTACGATTTTAGGGTTTCCGATTTAGGGTTTAGTGTTTCGGGTTTGGGATTTTAGGGTTTGGGTTTAGAATTTGGGGTTTAGAATATTTAGGGTTTTGGGGTTTTAGGGTTTATGGTTTTTTATTTTAGTGCTATGGGTTTTAGGGTTTGGGTATTGAGATTTAAGGTTTTGGGGTTTGAGGTTAAGGTTTAGGGTTTTAGGGTTTAAGGTTTAGTATAAGAATATCTTGTGAAAGAAAGAGAGCTAATCTTGTTTCTCCTTTTGTTCCAGAAACAGAAAAATAGATTTTTTTTACTTCTTATTTCTGTTACAAATCTATTCTCTGACCACTTTTTTGTTCCGGCGAACAAAAAAACTAACTGATGTTACTAAACGGATTTAAGTTCTTTTTCTGTTCCGAAGAACAAAAGAACAGAAAAACAGAGAAATAGAAGCGTTACTAAACAAATCCAAAGTTCAATGTATTGCTTTGGATAAGAAAGTTCATGCACGGATTTCTCGCGTGCTCGGAGAATTTGTGTTAGGAGTGATTGACCTCATGGGAGATCCAGCAGTCGAGACTCGTCGTTTGTATTAGAATTTTTTTTATTTTGCAGCATAGTTTGTAATTATTGAACCTATGCTGTGTATCACATGTTCTTTACTTGTACAACATCAAACTGGAGCAACAGACATAGAGAGATTGGCACGAGAGGGATCTAAGATTAATTTCATCGGGCGTCGAAATCGAGAGAGAGGGAGATCTTCTTTAAGAAGATGCAAGTCGGTCCAAGTTGGTTCCGGCTGACTTGTAATTGATACATCAATCGGGGACTCAAACCGGTGGTGGTCGGTTCTCAAATTTCTTACCTATGGGTGTGAATCAATCTTGAATCGGTTGAGATCCCTAATTAAGCCGGGACCAATTCTAGCCCTAACTGCATACCACAAAGTAAAAGAAGCCTCTTGCGCATGGCCTCGGGAAGTGCCTTCGATATATAACTAGACCCAGGCTGAACTTTTTGGAGGTTGCGACCTTTCGTGGGGTTGACGCCCATGTAGACTGAGCACTTGCTGACCATGTTAGTGGTGTTCAAGACCGTGTTTGGAAATGAAAATTTTCGACTACAAGAGTACATGGATCGGTGACGTTTTATAAGCGAGATATCGCACGCGCTTCCGATACTCTCACACAAGTTTTTTTCTTCCCTCGAAGAAATTGAAATCGAATGACAAATGTTTTAAGCTGTTGGAAGGAAAATTTCTTGTTCTCTCTCTCTCATTTCTTGCAACCTTCTCTCAGACATAGCATGACCTACAATTTAATGTATCTTTATCTTGAGTCTTGATGTGCTGGAAAGTACATGGAGCTATGGATCCTATCCTCAAGTGGAATTCCGCATATTCAAGGTACAGGGCATGTTATTTTTCATGAATATTTGTTTTCATATAAGTGGAGAGCGATATGTGTGACAATAACCGATCGGACGAGATGTATTGACTTATGTGAGTGACAACAACATGAACCCAATCTTCCAACCAAAATCACGTCGCGAGAACTTAAAGACAAACACTTCTTTGTTTGCTATCGTTATGGTTTGGGGATAATTGTACAAAAAGTCCTAAATCTATTGTATGATGGTCAATTCAGTCATAAACTTTTCGACTTTTTCAATTTAATCCGAAACATTTTGATAATTTTTCAATATAATCATTCCGAGCAATTTTGGCCTGAAATCGCTGACATGACGGTCCACGTCAACGCCGGCCGGTCATACCACATAGAACGGTTAGTGTCCACGTTTATGACTATATTGGCAAATCGTCAAAAAGTTTATGACTAAATTGGTAAAATTGAAAAGTTTAGTACTGAATTGATCACCGTATAATAGGTTTATGATTTTTTGAACCGTTTTCACTCATGATTTGAGTCCGGCATGTGATGTCAATTGTGGATCATCCCTGTCTATAAAATTAGAGGGGCAGATGTGAAGCGTGCATGTGAGTAGAGTACAACCAATTCAAACCACAACAAAAACTTCTAGATAGTGTAGGGAGATCATGGTCCATCAGACCCTCCGTTTGTGTCACATGTTAAGCTCACTAGTTTAATCAGTGTCTCAAAGTTAATCTCAACTTTATTGTCCCCTCAATCATAGACCAGAGGGCCAGACAGAGAGCCCAAGAAAGGTTCCATGTTTAACTGCAACATGATCAAATCACAGTCCCACTTCGAAATGATCATGAGAAAAGCTTTTATTAATTTTCCATTTGTTTATTGGCTGTCTGGATCTACATAGAGCCGGCCAAATCCCTCTTCAAGCCATCCTAGGAGCAGAACATGATGATATCCAGCCCACTTTGCAAACAAAGAGGACTTCAAGAAAAATATCAAAGAGGGTCATGTCCCAGATGGGGCAAAAGGACCAGATTGGCCAGGGTTTAATGCAATCCTGACAAAGGGCAACTTGGTAATGTGGGTGTGTGTGTGTATGAAAAAGCTGTTCTTGCAAGTTTTGGACAGGCCTTCACATGGCAAGTGAAGTACCCTCATGTGGGCACATGCATGGGGACTCCTATCATTCATGTTGTACTCACTCCAAGCAAAAGAGACTCATAAAACTTCAAAGAGGAAATCTCCTTTGACTGATTCTGTGCTTAATTGACAATTTGTTTGTCTAGTTTGAAGTGCACCCCACATATTTCTCCTCCTTACATATGACTCCTCTCCTAATCAAAACATGTCCCCCCCCCCCCCCCGCCCTCCCCCCCCTTTTTTTTTTTTTAAATCGGTAAAATCCGATTCCATCATTAATTTCTTGACCCACGGAATCTCGATCCTTAATGAAAATCTAAATTTTCTATAAATGATACATGTCTGTGAGGACATTTAAATGAGTTTGTGTTTTCAAGAATGGAATGAATCGGATGCTAATGAACCGTTTCGCCTGCGTGTACATGCTCATTAATGAGTAAGAGGAAAATGGGGATAAAAATTTCTTTCATTTGGAGATTTATTTCTGGATCAATCGAAACACCTATGTTTATTTCAATGACTTGATATGGCGATGGAACTTCTTGGGAGTCCTATTGTTTAGGCACTCATGATGTCCATGTGCTGTTCCAGCATTCTAACACAATCATAGCTCCCTCGTCTAATGAGAAAAAGTAAAAAAGGGTTAGCCCCTCGGTTCCTCACCTTCCAAAACATGCATCTGCCAAACAAAAACAAGACAAAAGGTTAAACAGTGAGAACACAAGAGAAAGCATCATCTCCTCCCCCTTATATATCACCTGGACTCTCTCGTGCACTTACTTCCTAGAACATCATCATCGCTTGCCAGCTCTCTCTCTCTCTCTCTCTCTCTCTCTCCGTCTCTCTCTCTTTCTCCAACAGCTATGGTGTCCGTAGAATCTGGTCATCCACCTCCCCGGGCCAGCGATGCACCCTCGAGTCCCAGGATCTCATTCTCTGCTGAATTCCTGGATGACAAGAACTTCATCTCCATCAGCCCGAAAGCACACCACGAGAAAGAGCGCGAGATGGACATCGACAAAGCCGAGTTCGAGTTCCTGTCGACCAACGTGAGCCTCGACTCGATGCTGTCCGCCGACGAGCTCTTCTGCGAGGGAAAGCTGCTGCCCTTCTGGCAAATGCAGCAGTCCGAGAGGCTGAACAAGATCAGCCTCGGTCCCAAGGACGACGGCGACGAGGAAGGCCGCGAGGAGGCCAAGGATAACAAGGAACAGAGCAAGCCGAATTGGTTCTTGGACGACGACCCGTCCCCGAGGCCGCCCAAGTGCACCGTCCTGTGGAAGGAGCTGCTGAGGTTGAAGAAGCAGCGCCCCAACTCGTCGCTGTCGCCGTCGTCCTCCTCTTCGTCGACGTCGTCCTCTTCCAACTCGATGGCCGACGTGGCCGCGAAGGACGAGAAGAAAGGGTCGGCGGCCGCCCGGAGCGGAGAGAAGCAGGTGAAGAGGATAAAGAAAGGGCTGGAGAGGACGAGGTCCGCGAGCATCCGGATCAGGCCGATGGTCAACGTGCCGATCTGCACGCCGGCGGCGAAGAGCAGCGCATTGCCGCCTTTGTTCCCCGTAAAGAAGAAAGGGAGATTAGATAGGTGAAGAGGAGACTGATGAGGGATGACGACGAGGAACTCGGTATTGTCAAATGTAGAGAAAAGCTTAATGTCAATAAGTTTTATTATTCAACTTTCTTCTCTTTTTTCTAGTCCTATCCTTTCTGAAGCCGTTTGTTTTTTCAAGTCTTTTTCTATGTTGTTATCCTCGGATCCGATGATTTTGAGTTTAGATGCTGACTTTCTGCTCAACGAACCGGTTGCATCCTTTTCCTTCTCATCTCGTGACAAGATTCAATGGAAAATGATGGAAATCCGGGTGAAAAAAATTACATGGAAATACTGAAAATACAACATTCACAGATTGCATTGCAGCATGTGGCTTCAGAGTCGTCAGATATAAAGTCTTTCATGATGCAGATGCAAAAATGATTTTGTGCAAATCATGTAATTAAGTCCACACAGTTGCCCGGTGCAGTAGAAAGGGATTGCAAGCCTTGACCCGTACACCACGTGGACCAAGCAAGGCACGTATAATTGAATCAGGTGAACCATCCACGTTCCATGGGTCCGCTCGATCCGAACGTTACTATTCAGTGAGCCCACCCCGCCAGGGAAGACTCTACCGGGAAGAATTTGCGACTCGAAAATCTGCGGAATGCTATTTGGAACGACACAAAAAAACGCTTGATTAGTCACCGGATTCTACTAAGAACAAGGGCATGCTGTCGTACCTGGACCGATCGATAAACTCGAGTTAGTTCCTCTTTACCAAAACAGGAATGTAGAAGGTGAGATCGTACGATATGAGCAATCCAAGAAGTCTGTTACCATGTTCTGGGTTAGAAAAGAGAGAACTCATTAGCTTGTAGAGAGGTAAACGAACCTGAAGATGAATTTGATGGGTGGGAACCTAAAGTGATGAGGAATATGCAGTAGTTCTTTGAAGGAAGAAGTCTCGCGACTTCAGATAAGTACCGCGACAGAAGAAAGTTAGCCACATCGCCTTACTCAAACAAGTTTTCTTTTTCGTGAGTAACAAGATTAGATGGGAACATTCAACGAACCGGAAGTTAGGCAAAAGAAGATTTCAATCTGCATCATAACGCCACATATACCAAGAGAGACTGAGATCGAATCTGGTTAGAAATTCTTGCGTGCTAGCTATGACTCCTTTATCTTTTCTCAGATCGGATGGTAGCTACAGAATTGGCCCTTTCACTTGTTGATTAAAAAGGGATGCGACGGCTACGCAGCACAACGGAATGAGCAATGGCACAACCCAATTAGTAAGCAAAACCTGAATTAAGGGCAAATGTTGATAGTGTATTCAATCCAGAAACAAGCAAGAAGTTCCCTCCCAGGATGCCAAGTTCATACCAAAGACCGAATTACAATTGACCTGAGAAATGGCACTGAACTGCTAAAGCATCATTTAGTGAAAAACATTTAGACACGGGTGTTGCTGCCTTGTAAAAGTAGAATTTCATCCAACAAACTTAGCTGAATTGCAATTGTGTTATCCGGCAAGATCAAGACTGTTGTAGGAAGGTTGGTATTACACGTTAATGCTCATAATACAGACACATGGATGAAAAACAAAAAGACGTATCATTTTCAGAATATTTGCCTTTACATAACATACAGTATGAGAGCCTTACACAACAAGACCAAGTTAATAAAAGAATACAGTGAGTATGAACCAACTATGTTCAGTTTACAAAGAGAGTGGCGCTTCAAATGCTAGAAGAGTGCATACAGCTCTAGACCCAAATGATGCAACTTTTCCATTCTGCGACTCGTGGCTGAGCTGGCAAAACTTCAAGTAAAGATCCCATGAATAACGTGACCGACTTATCCAATAACACTGACCATCTTGCTTCCACTTTTGGGTATTCAGCTACAGTCTTGTCATTATCGTGGGGGTGGTGCAGACAGCAAACTGTTGCCATAAAACCTAAAAAGCAACAGAACATTAGACCTAATAGGACATTGAATTATAGCACAACAAACATTCACAGAGAACGCCCACTTACTTGAGATTCAATCCAGGCTTATTAAGGAGGCTGCTTGGAACTTGACCAGTCAAATTATTGTTTTGCAAGAAACTGAAAGACAGCAAGCACAAGACATAAGAATCATACCCTGCTAGTTACATCAATAGCTTGATAGAATAGGATACAGATGTGATTGATTAAACCAATTCCATTATGTCTCCAAGTGTTTTTTCATTTAATGGCTTCGCCTAGGTACTCAGAAAAGTCTTGAAAATTCATTGAAAACAGTACTCCAAGCAAATTACTATCGGGAAACAGTCCAAAGCCCTCATGTTTTGCATGTTGAAGCACTCATCACAAGCAAACTCATAACATGGAAGTAGGCAATTGCAAATTCCACTAGATTACCAAAAATGGGATAGAAAATCCAAGAATCAAGCAAGAATAGGTTAGACAAATATCTGCTACGTGTCCAGAAACTGTTGTTCTGATGTTAAGGGAACATCTATCTGGCACCACGTGCTTGTGAGAAGAAAGAGAGGGATCATCCAGATGAATCACTATTGCTCCTTCAGCAACAATCAAATACCATTCTTGTAATAAAGAATTGTCTAAGTACTAATAAAAACAGTGTAGTGTTATTGGACTATATTGGTCTTCCATATGTATGCCATTCGAGAGACTTATTGAATAGCCCCGGGTGGCATGATATTGGCTTTGAAGGATATTCTTTTAACCAATAATTTGATCTAACCATAAAGGTAATTGCCCAAATTTTCAATGGGGATTGCTGAGCACGAAAAGTACAATAACCTCCAATGAAGTAGGGATTGGGTAATTAGTTGTTCTAAAATAGTCACAGGATGCTAAGAATTATGATAGTGAAAGGAACAAAAGAAAACAGAGCAAAATTTCAAAAAGAAAGTGGAGGGGATTGACTGCAGAAACGCATGCATTTACTTGATAGTTGATAGGAGACAGAACTTACAGTTCTTTCAAGCCACTTATGGCTCCAAGTGATGAGGGAATTGGCCCATTCAACTCATTGTCATTTAAATGCCTACAAGTAAAAATTATTAGATTAGATAGAGGTAAAAAGACCATCAAAATCACATATAACATGTAGGTCATTGTGCCATCAAAGAGTTGCAACTAACAGGAAAACTCCGTAACTTACAATATTTCAAGGTTCCTTAGTGCACTGAGATTAGGGATAGGTCCATATAAGTGATTGTTTCCGAGCCAGCTGTTATCAGGGCAAGGTTGTCAGTCAAGGAACTCTTTATTAGCTGACTGAAAGTCTAAATAAAAAGGTTGATCACATCACACTGCATTACATACATGCCAGTCAATGCAGTCATATTAGCAAGATAAGGTGACAGGGATCCATAGAGACCAATACCAGTCAGGTTTCTGCAACCAAAGTATAATCAGACATAAGTACTACGTAATAAAGGCAGTTTTGGAAAACATAAACGAACCATGACTTCGCAATAGAATTAGACTCACAAAGCGACCACACGGATCCGGCGGCCGCCCTGAGAGCACGTAACTCCAGTCCAGGAGTACTGCTGAGGTAAACAAGGATCACCACTCCAATCAATAGGATGATTGTGCAAGCTGAGTTTCAATTTTTCCAAAGCAATCACTGAAACAAGAAAGACGCTTTTCAGATGGTGTCAAGAGAAAAAATAAAGTAGGAAGAATTGTATCACTTTATAATATGACATTTCTATCTATGAAAGGCCAAATAACAAAGTAGAAATGCTTGCTTATGCAAAAATACTGCCATAAACCAGTCAGGGACTTGGTGAAAAAGGTTCTGATCATTATGTGGCAGCATCCTTTGAGAGAAGCACAGAACCTGACCCAGTTGTTAAAGTAAACTGGACATTTTTCCCACTGCATGTCACCTAACCATTAGTTGTTCTGGATCTTTTACTTTAACAGAAAAAGGTGGCTTTGACATAAGAATAATCATGGAGGCAGTGAAGGATTTGCCTACGCTGGCCAAACAGGTGAGCAAAGAATTAATATGAAAGTTACACCCAACAAATGGGAAAGAATCTAAAAACTATACCATCTCTTGTGTGAGTTACTCTTCCAAGAGGCAGCACCTGAAAAGCTTCCCCAGCATTGATTAAAGGACCTAAAGTTGAACCGCTAGTAGGCACCAGATTTATCTTTGTAAGGCCAACGAGAGGCCAATTCGAAGTAAAAACGGCAACGCCATCTGAAGTAACATTCAAGTTGCTGTAAAATGGAAAACCATTTACTGTTATGTCCTGGATTCTTGAGCCTCCAGCTACCGAATCATGATCATTTGCAAAATATAGAGCAATATAGTACGATCCATTTTGTAGAGAACCCAGAGGCCATTGCAACTCCAGTGGCTGTGATGCGGTCGCAGTCAGCTCTGTTTCAAATACTTTCAAGGGAGGAAGATTCCAAAATCCAGAAACAGTTAAATTGTTGCTTGTTTTGGAAGAACCATTTCCTCCAAATGGCACCCAGAGACGGTCAAATTGATCATCGGGAAATCTGGCAGTTGAAAAATCGGTACGTTAGGCAAAAGTCAAGGAAAAGCCAAAGTATATATACTAGAGCATCGACTTCGTGTCTCGAATCAAGGACAAAACAGATGCTGTTGCATTTATTCAGGAATCCCTCGACGATCTTTTAGTCTCCAAAAAGTTATTTTCATGCAGGGAATGCAAATGCAGAGTAAAGTAAGCCGCAAAAACCATGTCCAACCATACCGTGGCATTACAAAGCATAAGTGAAGATATGATCGGAGTAAATATATTAATCTTAGCTCTGTAGACATGTGCAGAATGAATTAACACATTACATGTATGATTAATTCGGCCAACAAACATGCAAATTAAGAGACTGAGACCCCATTTGTACTCATAAACACTCCATCTAAGCCCGCCGCTTTTCGAGACTGTATCAGCAATTTTTACCCCACACGCCACGGACTCGATGAAAACCATCAACGGGAAGCCATCGATAGCCAGGCATTTCACACATTTGAATAGACTCTACATCTATAAGGATTTAAAGAGCCAAGTGCTGATCATACCTAATGGGATCTCCGCTGTCCCCGAAGCTGTTCCTGGCGACCAAACTGAGCGCTGAACTCCCGAAATCCGTCGAATTGTACACCGAATCGCCCAATGGAACAAACTCCAGAGCCGAAATGAACGGGTCCGATTCCGTATAAACATTAGCCCCGACGCAGAAGCTCATGGTCTTGCCCTGAGCCATGAACACCCCTTCGTAATAAGTCGAATCGTCATTGCGATAATCTCCCGTGGTGTTGACCACGGCCCAGAGGGTCCCGTCCACGATCTGGTCGAACACCGGCGGGTCGGGGACGCCGTTGACCCCTCCGTAGAAGTAGGTGCTCCGCACCATGTACCTGGCGCCGCGGACGACGTCGACCACGTAGCAGAACTTGCGGCCGGGGAGGTTGGGGAACGACCGGACGGTGGCGAGCGTGGGGTCCGCGGTGTCCACCGCGAGGTTCCTCGGGGCGCCGGAGGAGACGAACGGCGCGTCCGCCTGCCACGGGAGGCCGTACGCGGCGGTCGGCGCGGCGGCGCCGCAGTCGATCAGGATGGAGGACGGCGGCGGCGGCGGCTGGGGCTGGGGGAGGGAGGGAGGGAGGAGCGACAGGGCGAGGAGGAGGGAGAGGCGGAGGAGCGATCGTGGCGGCGGAGACATCGGGGAGGCCGGCGAGAGGTCGACGCGCAGAGATTGGAGAGAGAGGAAGGACTTGCTTCTTCTTCTTCTTCTTCTTCTTCTTGTGGTGGTTCTTCTTCTTCAATGGAGGAGGATGATGATGATGATGAGGATGGTGGTGGTGGTGTTGATCGAGTAGTAGTGGAGCTGAACTGGTCATTGCTGTTGGTGAGACGCGCACGAAAGGAATGCGACCAGTAGAGAGAGAAAGTTAGAGAGAGAGAGAGAGAGAGAGAGAGGGGACGGAGTTGGGGAAGAGGAAGGAATAAGAAATTAAATTAATCGATTAATTAATTTATTTTTTATTATTTTTTTTAAAAAAGAAAGGAGATTTCGTTTGACGCGGGAAAACACGAGGCCAGGTCAGCGGGCGGCAGTTGGGTGTTTGTTGGGGATGCACTACTCCTCACCGATGTTGATGATGACTCGAGGGTTAACGCCTAAAATCACGTTTCGACTCTTCTCCAACTTCTACACAACCATTGACTATGTCGCCAAGCAGGAAGGCGACTCAACTATACATACATATATATATATATTAGACCCATTATATAGGATGGATTGGATCGAGTTTGGGACGGGTGGAACATGATCCGACCCATGTTAACCCATTTTTATATATTATAATTACAATGAATCATACCCAATTCAATTCATGCACGATCCACGTATTTTCCTTCTTCTATTTCTATTTTCCGATTCATCTTCTTCTCGCCTACTCTCTCCACATGTAACCATAACGCACACTCTCTCTGCACCAAAAGGCCGGAATTTGAGGAGCAGCTGCCCGTACAAAGATTTGTCCCTCGGAATTTGCCAATCTTTCGAGATTGGTGAGCTCCCGGTAGCTGCGGAGCTTGAGCGGCGTGAGGCTTCGACACTTGAGGGAGATTAGGATCAGCGCGCCGTCGGCCGGGCTTATCGACTTCCGGTTGCATCGGAGTGCGAGCTTCGTGACGGCGTCGGAGCGCGAGAAGATGGACGGGAGGGATGATAGCAGCTCGGCCTGGGCATTGAGTGACAATCGATGCTGATTCTCCTCGTTGACGCGAAGCCACCGCCAGCACACGGCAGAGTATCGCATCCTCCATGCCGAGTAAGTGGAAAACGTGGGCCAAGCACTCGTTGGGCAGGTTGCCGGTGTAGTCGTAGCCGCCGCTGCCGCCGCCGCTTTCGCCGCCGTCCTCTTCTTCCTCAAATGAGGAAACAAACTCTAGTGACGGGAGGGAGTCGAGGCGCTAGTTCGATGATATATGTAGCTAGGGAGTCTACAAATTTCATTATAAACCCATTTCAACCTCGTATTAAAGCTTCAACTAACCTATTTTCTACCAGATCGATTAAATGTGAGTTAAAATATGGGTCATTGACCCATTTTGCTACCCCTAAATGGACGATGAAAATTATATTTCATTATTTCTCATTTTCTGGCATGCGGCGATAAACGTCAAATTTCAGCTTTGCTGGCGAGCGAATTTAAAGAAATTACAAAATCTTAGTCTAGATAGGACTAGATAAAGAAATTTGACTTACGAGTTTTTTGACGAGTGTCCAGTTTTTTACATAAAAGTAGCTGGCGATGAGGCAATCGAAGATGGTCGTTATATTCCAGGTATTGCCCGTGTTGAGAGCTATGCCCGAGCACAATCGCGAATTTTTTGCAACTTTTTGTTTAAAGTGGAAGAAGGAAAAAAATCTATGAATCACTTGAGTCCATGGGGATTAATTTATCAACGTTTTTCAATGCCTCGATGAAATTATGATAGCAATGGCATGAGACGGACCGCGAGCTGATGGGTGAAATTAGTCATAACACGGTGGGACTGGCGACGGAACTTGTACGATGGCGTTGTCCATGGTAAGGCAGTGCGATAATGGCGGTGGCGATAGTGAAGTCCGCGCGGTGACGCTGTAAATGAGGCGGTGGTGGCGAAAGAGGGGTGGTAGAGCAACGTCGACAAGGCGGTAATGGGCCAAAGATAGATCGTGTGGAGTCTTGAACAAGATTAGTGATGGGAGGTGAAGGCGGTCGATCACGTCGGCATTGCAACCGTGATGGAAGGACAAGAGAACGAGCATTCATTGTCGTGTGTACTCGTGAATTGACATAAACATGGCAGTTTTGCAATCCTACATTGATTTCCTATGTGATGAATTGATGAGCATTCTATCTTCAAGTAAGTTATTTCTTGTTTCGCACATTTCAGCTATGTCTTGAGAGTTTTGACTTACTGCTATCATCCGCGTTATGGTTAACACCGGTTCGTCACATTGCTCTGATGAAAATCCGTAGACACACTCCATGCGGGCTGATTGACTTTTGTATCAACCCAAATAAAAAAACCGTGATTTTCCCCACTTTTGTATATGGGGCAGCCATAATACCTTTTTCCCCGATCCTCCTTGTAGAGGAGATTTCAAGCCATAATAGTAAAACATAGACGTATCATTGTCGATTGAGGGATCGATGTTGTCGATTTAGGGACCGATGTCATCGATTGTAATCAATTCGCTGATCTTTTTGTGATTTAGCCGATATCTTCTCGCGATCACACTTACGTACCATAATAGCAAAAAACGAGATACACGTGAAAATGAAAAGGATGACACCTACATATCGTTGTTGGCATTGTTGGCCACGACACGACATAAGGACGAAAGAACGAGCGTTCATTGCTGTGTTTACTTATGAATTAATGCAAACATGGCAATTTCGCAATACTACATTGATTACTTACGTGATAGAAATTTAGATGATCTAAAGACAGATCGAGATCGCTCCGTGATTTCACATTCGAGCACGGATGTCTTTTTTTTTAGTTACTTTGTACTACAGAACTTGTTCTGTGATGGTATTGTTTTAGTTTCTTTTTTTTTTTCAGTTACATTGTACTACAAAACTTGTTCTGTGATGGTACTCACGCAGTGAGAGTGGGAAGAAAAGAGACTCTGGCGTAGTATTGGAAATCGTCTCTATTATCATTTTTCCGTCTTGTGCATATGAAAAGAAAAAACAAGAGAACAGAACCAACCTAACCTGGTTAGTTTTGTATTTGCGGCGGGTTCACAATTCCAATCTATCTGCGCAAAAAAAAAAAAGAAGAAAAAAAATTGGCCCGACCCGACCCGGCCCTTGAGGTGTACGGTGAACAGGGTCTCGGGTTTGTCTGGACGGGTTAAGCATGATTCTGTAGGTTTCGAGTCCGGTTAGATATTAAGAAAGCCCGATCCAACTCATCGACACCCCTACTTTGGATGGCCCAGAACCAGAACCAAGTCATTGGGTTAGCCCAGTTCCCTCCTATCGGACTCCCCCAACTTGGGGAATCATCCTCGGATTCCCCTGTCCTCTCTCGTGATGCTTTGACCATCTACGCTAGTTGACCACGCAATCCCATGTCTATAGTCCAAACCTATCGCGGTGATTGGTTTGAATTGTGTTAAAGAAATGGGGAAAGAAAAAAAAGGGATAATGAAACACGTGGTCCTAAAATTTAACTCAATATATAACGATGCGGTCTATGAACTTTTAATTTGTTTTGAATTTTAACTCAATGTGTAGTGGATTTTCGAATTTTAACTACATCGAACAAATTAAAAGTTCATGGATCACATTATATATTAGGCCAAAGCTTATGAACCATTTGCGTTATTTTCTCAAAAAAGAACAATTGGGTTTGATAATAATAATGATAATCGCGACTTTCGCAAAAATTAATATTGGATAGTTGACGGACGGAGAAGTTTTTGCTCTCGAAACGTCAAAATTGAAACGTCACGTTATCAAATGGGAGGAGATCTCATGCATATAATTTTCGGCACATTCGCTTTGCTTTCCGAAAAAAAAGTATTACTTTTTTTCGTCCTTATAATCCTACTCGTTTCAAACCAAGTTCCTATACTTTTGATTCGTCTAAATCGAGTCTTTCTACTTTCACGGTTTCTCTAATCGAATTCGCTCCGACATCAAATCCGGCAAGAATCCAACCGACGCGGCCATCGGATAATGCCGCGGCGCAGCGCGGATAGAATTCCTCTGGTCGGACATCCGCGGTAGAGAAACCTTCATCCACGTCGTGCTCCGACGCCGTCCGCACGCATCGATCAAACTTTCGGCGTCGTCTGACGACCACGTCGGCCGAATACAATCGGATCAGATGCTAGGGGAGGGGCTCGATTAGAGAATTTGTAAAAGTACAGGGACTTAGATTAGACAGACTGAAGGTATATAAAAAGGCTTAATTAAGGGAAGAAAGCACGAAAGCCGAATGAATCAAAAGTGGGGGTCGTGGAATCAGAAGAGCACGCATGTAAAGCAAAAGCCCTCCGAATTCATTTTGCTTCACTGTTACTCCACCCGATCACCCCTTCCTTTTCCTCGCTCGGCAAGTGAAAATCCTCGCACGTTAAATCGTGTTGACATGACGTCCGTGTGGCTTAAGTAAAACAAGAAAAAGAGAAAATCACGTGACCGATCTTTGATGGAGGGTAAATGCGTTACGCCGTTATAAGTTTGGGGTTTTCGATGTTACAAGAAAAAGTTTGGAGTAAATATGTCACGATAGATTTAGTTCGAGGTTTTTTTTTACGTCGCAAAAGAAGGTTTGGATAAACGTGCCGTGGTGAACATTGTTCGGAGTTTTTGATGGTTTTTTCCCCTTATTTTTTTTTTCTTTTTCATTCCACGGTATTCTCTGGAGGAAGAACTATTTCGTTCGAACCAAATTAGAAAACACGGTCGAGTTCGCGGCGAAGCGCGTGGTTCTTTCGAGCGAGACGTCTCGCCTCGACGCACTCTCGTCGCGACACGCGAGATCACCGGCGGCGAGGGTTTACACTCCGTTTTCTCGTCAATTGAACTCGGACATGTCGGATCGGATCGTCACACGCTCCCTGCTCATTAGACCTGTCAAAATAGGTCATAAACCCATTTTTAACCCATATATTAGTAAGTGGGTCATAAATGGATTAGTTATATTTAGTAAATGGGTCATAAATGGTTAGAAGTCTTCTTATATTAGTGTTAAATGGGTCGTAAATGGATCATAAATGGGTTTACAACTGATTTAAATTCAACGCATCTCTCTCGCCCTCACTCATTTTTGCACTCACTCACTCCGCACTCTCATTTCAGCTTGGGTATGAATTTTTCTATATTTAATTAAATATGAAAGTGTTTTAGCAATATGGGTCTGATCGGGTATGAGTCGGGTATGGGTCAAGAAAATTGCATTGCGCATAAAATGTGTCATAAATGGGTTAATGGGTCAATTTGGGTTGGACCATTTATGACCCGACCCAAACCCCATCCGATCCACCCATTTGACAGGTCTACTGCTCATTGGGAAGAAATTATTTCCCGCCTACTTACTCGATCGGATCTCCCATTCGTCCCGTCGCACTAACGTGCGGGAACTTTCATTAAAACCCAACCAATCACAGCAACAAGACCCGACCGGAGAAAGCTACGGTCCGATCAAAGGCGGGAACGTTGGCGCTGCGTTCAGCACGAATCGCGCCCGACGTTTTGGTACAGGGCTTCTTCAGCCCCGCGCGGGAAGTGATTGGAGGTGCTCCTCGCGAAACGACGTCACTCCATGGCCACGTGGCGCCCGTGGGTTGGGGGGGGGGCCCCCGCCGCACTCCATTTTCGCTCCCCCCTTTCCTTCTTTTTCACCCGGGGTTTTCCTTCTCCTTCTCTCCCGCTTTATTTAATTTACTTTCCCGCCTAATACATTTTCCAAACCCCCGGGAATTACAGGAAATAATCAGGAAATTAAAATAAAATCCACCGTAATTATTTTCCGGAGCGCTATCAATTTAATTCCATAAGTTCATAATCCTCTCTCTCAATGCCGAAAACAGCAAAAAAAAAATTCAAATGATAAATAGTTAGCATTTTCGTCGCCGCTGCGGGAAAACGACGTCGCGCGAGTGCGGAATTTGACGTCGGTGCTCGCCGTTAAATACCGACGCGTCGCCCCGAATCGCCCCCCTTCCCCACACCGTGCGTCCCCGGAGGCAACACGGAAAGCGGAAAGCGAGCGACGCCTTCCCCCCCCCCGGAGGGGAAATCCCCAAACTGCCCCCCCCCCCCCACCGTCCGTCGCCACCGTCGCGTTTCAAAAATCCGATTCCCCCATTTCTCAACCCCCCTCCCCCACCCCTCCGTCTCTCTCTCTCTCTCTCTATCTCTCTGAACTTCCCTGAATTTTTTCCTTTCCCCGCATCGATGGACTTCAACCGGAGCCAGGATCCGCAGCAGGACATCCAGGAGAAGAAGGGCCAGAAGAGGAAGCTGGAGGACGAGGCGGCCGCGGCGGCGGCCGCCTCCGGCGACGGCGAGATCTCCGCCTCCGCCGGGGACGGCGGCCGGCAGTCGCTGCTCCGGGAGGTGGCCGCGCAGGTGAAGGTCCTCGAGTCCGCCTTCTCCTGGGCCGAGGCCGATCGAGCCGCCGCCAAGCGCGCCACGCACGTCCTCGCCGAGCTCGCCAAAAACGGTGCGGCTCCCCGGGGTTGGGGGTAGGGGGGGAGGGGGGGGGGGGGGAGATGATTAGGATTCCGCGATCTCGGCTTTAGTGACTCGTCCGGGGTTGATTTTTCGCTGCTGATTGTGTGCGTGCGTGCGTGTTGACGCGTGTTTGTGGGTGGATGCAGAGGAGCTGGGGAGCTTGCTTGTTGACGGCGGCGTGGTTCCGGCCCTGGTGAAGCATCTACAGGCGCCGCCGTCGGCGGAAGGCGACCGGAGCGCGAGGCCGTACGAGCATGAAGTTGAGAAGGGATGTGCTTTTGCGCTGGGTCATCTGGCTGTTAAGGTAGAGTTGATTGTGACTCTGATCGCTCTATTAGCCTTGGTGTATTGGCTATAGCTAGCGATTGGCGTTGTGAAGTCGATTATCTTTGAAGAGATGATCGAAGTCCTGATTATCCTAGTTCAAGTATGCATATCTGTGAGGCACACTGTAGTCTGGTCATTAATAGGTTAGACTGTGTGGTATGAATGCTCAAGAGTGGTTTGTTATGGCAAGTAGAACAATCGCAAAGGGATTTGGAGGAGGAGCTTGAAGATATCTTACGATGTAAATTACTTTCTCGTTGCGCAAAGAAGAGTGAAAAGAAAGTGTTGCGATTTTATTCATCGAATTGTCTTGTTTAGCTTTCTCAGCAGGCTTTGCATTTACACCTCAAATTAGTTTTCACCGTTATATCGTTAGGTTATATACGTAGCTCGGTGTTTAACGTATTGACTCTGCTTGATTTAATGAAATGCAGATTCAACTTGAGTGAAAAAGAAAGTGTCATGATTTCATTCATTGAATTGTCTTGTGTAGCTTTCTCAGCAGGCTTTGCATTTACACCTCAAATTAGTTTTCACCGTTATATCGTTAGGTTATATACGTAGCTCGGTGTTTGACAGATTGACTCTACTTGATTTACTGAAATGCAGATTCTTCTCGAGGGTGTCAATGTTATACTTCCATTTGCGTCGTGTCACCTCTTTTAATATGGTATCCTCCGTTGATAAGGGAATAAATTTATTTGGACGAGTCGTTGAAGCTCATCATGTTGAAAGATGACGTTTCGAGTATTAAATGCGGCAAATTACACGTGCTTTACAAAAGAAAGCGGAATAGGAAAAAATCGGCAGTGAAATTGATCTTTAGAGCCTTTTTCATGCTTGCCAGACATTTTGGCATTTGACATGTTGATGAGATATCTATGTGGATGTCATCAAGTGTCATTGTGATTCTTAGAAGAATGTTGCTAAGGCATTGTACTTTGGGTTTTTGTTATACCTGTCATTATCTGTCGACGGCACTCGTCAATACTATCCGTTTCAGTACTGTTTTCTTTTAAGCCGAGGCGGTACTGGTACTACAGAAAATGTCTCACCTTTCCCCTTGTTATCTCCTCTTGGAACAGCCAGAGCTTCAACAACTTATAGTCGACTGTGGTGCCTTACCACATCTAATAGATCTGTTGAAGAGGCATGAAGATGGTTCAACCACACGAGCTGTCAACAGTTTAATTAGGAGAGCGGCCGATGCTATCACTAACCTCGCTCACGAGAATAGCAGCATCAAGATTCGTGTCAGGTGTGCTCCCGTATAGTTTAGAATCAAACAATGCCTTAGCTCCATTTTCCTTAATAGTATTGGGACTGAGGTGCAGGATGGAAGGTGGGATTCAACCTCTAGTAGAATTGCTAGATTTTAGGGATACCAAAGTGCAAAGAGCTGCTGCTGGTGCATTGCGTACCCTGGCTTTCAAAAATGATGAAAACAAGAATCAGGTGATTATTTTTCTTAGAAAGATGTTTTCTTGTTTGTTATATCAAGAGTAGGAATTATGTGAACTCATTGCCTTTTCAGATTGTGGAGTGCAATGCTCTTCCAACGCTCATTTTGATGCTCCGTTCTGAGGACGCTGCAATACATTATGAGGCGGTAAGGCCATAGGGAAAGTATAATTGATCAGAACGAGAGTTGCTGCTTTGTGCGATTCTTTGAATTTACTTTGTTTATTGCATTCTGTTTGTGGCTTTCAGGTTGGTGTCATTGGCAATCTGGTACACTCATCTCCGAACATTAAAAAAGAAGTTCTTACTGCCGGGGCTTTACAGCCTGTTATAGGACTGCTAAGGTATGTTGGGAATCTAGGACTGATGTGGAGCTCGTGCCACTTACAGTCTGGCAAACGGTCTGACGAACTTCTTGCTCTTTCATGATTGTTTGTACCGATCAAGTTTCAATTGAACATTTTCTTCTTCAAACATGTTGATTTACAGTTCTTGCTGTCCTGAGAGCCAAAGGGAGGCAGCCTTGCTCCTAGGGCAGTTTGCTGCTGCTGATTCAGACTGTAAGGTGAATGATGGCAGTTTTTTTTGTCTTGCCTCTTTTTTTGTCTGTATCCTGTTCTGCCAAGATTTGTATGATTTCTTCTCTCTTATGATTCAAAATTCATGAAACAAACTAACTTTAATTTTTGCTTTTTTGGGTCAGTCAATGTTATTAAGTGGTCTCAGTTTTTTCCTATCCTTCTAGTAGATAAGTGGTGCATTCTTGTTGTCTTCTCTATCAATTGAGCCTGGTCATCTTCTCAACCTTACCTTTCGCCTTTTTATCTTGGAAAGTGTACTTTTGACTTTCTCGATCTACGTTCTCATTTACATTGCAACGAGGATGCAAAAATGCAGGTTCACATTGTCCAGAGGGGAGCTGTTCGTCCTTTAATCGATATGCTTCAGTCCGACGACTTTCAGCTGAGGGAAATGTCAGCATTTGCATTAGGGAGATTGGCTCAGGTCTCTCTCTCTCTCCCCGCGCCAACTTGATTTCCAAAATGCTGGCTGACGGACAGTATTCAGATAGAGAGCCTATTCCCTTTTTTCCTTAAACCTTGGCACTTGTCTACGGTGCGGCCCTTTAGAAAGGTCCACTGAAAATGAAGGACAAAAGAGTGATTTTTGCTTTTCTAACGATACGGAAATCAAGCACCCACGCACCAACACTCAAACATAGCTTAACAAGTACTCTATTGGCATTTATTGAAATTTCCTTATTTAAGAGATATGCTTCATACAATGAATTTTTGCCAGATGCAATTATATGGTGAACCATATGATCTTTTCGGCATGTTATGTGTATTTTATGAGCTATTGTGTCCAGTGAAGTTCAGAAATTAAAGACGCCCTGAACATTTCTTTTTATCAATTCAGGACTCTCATAATCAAGCTGGTATAGCTTATAATGGTGGCTTGATTCCATTATTGAAGCTTCTTGATTCAAAAAATGGGTCCTTGCAGCATAATGCTGCCTTTGCGCTTTATGGACTTGCAGACAATGAGGTAATACCTTGGAATTTTAATCAAGCCAAAATTTAAGAATGCTTCCCACCCAAACTATCCAAAAAAAATGGCAATGTTGAAGTTTTCTTGTTCAGTAGGATTTCATTCAAGCTAGTTGTTGTAACCGCTATGCATCTTCTCTATAGGACAATGTCTCCGATTTTATTAGGGTAGGAGGTGTTCAAAAGCTGCAAGATGGAGAATTTATTGTCCAGGTGAGTAGGGAAAGTTTTAAGTCGCATAGTGTTTAGAATTATTTTTAAACACAAAGCATAATATGAGTGAAATTGACAACATCTTTGCAGGCTACGAAAGATTGTGTTGCCAAAACTTTGAAAAGAATTGAGGAGAAGATTCATGGCCGAGTGAGTAGCTTAATTTTTTAGTCTCATACTTTGAACTGAACTCCGTATTGTTCTCAATGATTTTATGTTTCTCTTTTTGTTGGGTACATAAATGAAAGGAGTTCTTTCTTTTCCTTTCTTGACCTGCCGGGCTTTAATATGTTGGTTTCTTTGTGCAGGTTTTGAATCATTTACTATATTTGATGCGTGTAGCAGAGAAGACTGTTCAAAGACGTGTTGCTTTGGCTCTTGCTCATCTCTGTTCTCCAGATGACCAGCAAACAATTTTTGTTGATAACAATGGTATGTGATGCTCTCTCTGTCTCTCTGTCTCTCTCTCAATACTTCTATACTTAAGAGTACTTTGTTCTCTTTTTACTTTGAAGTTGTCAGAGTATCTGATTAGTCTGTATTCTCTGAAGGGTTGGAGCTGCTTGTTAGCCTGCTTATTTGTTCAAGCCCTCGGCAGCAACTTGATGGTGCTGTGGCATTGTTCAAGTTAGCTAACAAAGCAATGTCTCTTTCTCCTGTTGATGCAGCTCCTCCCTCTCCAACGCCACAGGTCACTGGCCATCCAATTGGTGCTTGATTTTCTTTTAATTATTTGAACTGTCAATTCTGGTCAGATAATGTGATCCAGAAGAATGTAAGGTTTTGTGTGTGCAAAAGATCTTTGTCAGCAGCATTGTTTGATTATTAGCTTGCCAGTTTCTCATAAATTGCCTTTTGTTTCATTACGTGGTCCAGGAGGATTCACCCGTTCTATTTATTTTTCTCTTTTAAAGTTTCAAAAATATATTTGTTATTATTTGCTTAGGAAGGAGTCTTTTGTGCATATGAGTATTTCTAGATCTGATCTGGGAAATAAAATTTGATCTGGTACTCAAAAACTTTCTTATTGCAGGTTTATCTAGGGGAGCAGTATGTGAACAACTCTACCCTGTCTGATGTAACATTTCTAGTTGAAGGTTCCTGAAAATTTTCATGCTCTGTTTCGTTGGTGACTCTCATACATGGATCATTCATATACAAGTTGTGCATGATGATCAATTTGAAAGAATTCTTGCCTTGTATATGTTTTGCAGGAAGACGGTTCTATGCACACAGAATTTGCTTGCTTGCTTCTTCTGACGCATTTCGTGCAATGTTTGACGGTGGATATCGGGTGAGTGTCCTTTAATTCTGGGTTTCAGGTTTTTTTTTTTGAGTTTTCATTTTTGTGTCAACATGAAATTGGACTATGCTGAGCTTTGTGATGTTGTTATGTTTAAAAGCTGAGTGCAGCACCTTATGCTTTGTGATCTCTTGATTTTAGGAAGCAAAATCTTTGCTCAGACTTATGGAATAAAGTTTTTGTGACATTTATTACAGGAGAAAGACGCTAGGGACATAGAAATTCCAAATATCAGATGGGAGGTTTTTGAGTTGATGATGAGGTTAGTTGAAACTTTTAAGTCTAAATTCACATAATATAGTTTGTGTGATATTCTTCAAATGACTTTTTTCAATGACACTACAGATTTATATACACTGGTTCAATTGATGTTACGCTGGAAATTGCTCAAGATCTCCTCAGAGCTTCTGATCAGTATCTCTTGGAGGGACTCAAGCGACTTTGTGAATATTCCATTGCACAGGTTAGCTGATGAGTGATTGAATGAGTTTACCTATTGATGTTTGGTATATTCCTTGACAATGAGTGTACCTTAATTATTGCAGGATATTTCGTTGGAAAATGTCTCCAGCATGTATGAACTTTCAGAAGCCTTCAATGCTATTTCCTTGAGGCACTCATGCATATTGTTCATTCTGGAGCATTTTGACAAATTGAGACCTGGGTAAACACTTCCAGCTAAGCTCCTCTTGTTTGGCGAAACTCTGTTTGAATTCTATTTATCAATCCCTTCTTCTAAGTATACTTCAGTAATATATCAGATTACATCATGGAAATTATTTCCTTCGACCCACAAGTTGCATGCTCCCCAGGTTTAGGGAGAATGTGGGGGAATTTGATTATACAACCAAGTTGCCTTCTGAAAGTTGAAATGCATCTCTGTCATTTTCTCTCATGTAGAATCATTTTCATCCCCTCCATTTCCTTAATCCAAATATCTGAAAATAATTAAATTATCTTGTCCATGATTTCCATATTACTGCCTTTCAATTCCATAGTTTTCATCTCCCTTCTATATTTTTTTGCCCACTCAAGAAAAAGATAAAACACCTAACTTTAAACAGACTTTTCAGCCTTTTTAATTTGTAATAAATACCATAAACATTATTCATCAGACAAATGAAATGATACTTGTAACGTTTCAAAGTGAATATCTTCAGTTTTCGCTCCCTTTATCTAGTAAAAATACCAAAAGTATACTTCACCAGAATACCTTTTTTATACTTTCTGTTTTTGCAAAATATCAGTTTGCTACCTCTAGACAAAACTCATTCTCTGAAAACACCAAATTCCCCCCTCTGCAGATCCCCAAGCCTCCAAACTCTCCACAACTCTGGCCAACATCAGCCACAAGCCACAAATCCCATGTCCCCTCCACCACTGACCACTGTCCGTTGTCACTGTCAACCCCGCGGCCATCGCTGCCGTCAACTCTTCCCCACCGGCATTGTCGTCCCTTTCCCTTGCCAATCAATCTACATCTGGTAGCAATGGGCGCGAGCTCAAACTTTGAGCTCTAGCAGCCATGGGCGCGAGCCCATAGCTCGAGGCGGTGAGCTTGAGAGATAGAGAGATGGGTGTCATGTAGGTGATAGGAGGGTGTGGGTGTTTTTGGAAAGAGAAATACATACGTAAATAGGTGGACAAGGACAGCTTTGTTTAAGTGAGGGTGTGAACATGTATTTTCAAAAATAAAGTTGTTCGAGTAGTAACTAGGTAAAAAGCATAGTACTTTTTGGTATTGTTCTTAAGCTACTAGGTCCTTTGGTTTTGATTTGTTGAACTTCTCCTGATCTCTTGGCAACTGTTCTGCTCTTGAACTTTTGCAGGATTTTCCATCTCATCCACCGGATACTACCAGAGGTCCAACAGTACTTTGTGAAAGCACTTACTAAGTCTAACCAGCGCAGTACCTTGCGGCTTTAAGACCCCGTGGTTTCGCTCTCCCTACTCTAACCGATTGTTGTACAGGAAGTGGTAGATTTATGAGCAGTTGGTAGCAGGTGGATGGCTCTAACTGTTTGATAATTGGAAGACTCGCATTCTTTTCCGGACGCAAGATGTGGACTCCCTGTAAGTCTCCACACATTTTTGTTGTAAGGTGTAACTGGGATGATGCTCTTCCCATTGTTTCCGAAATCCAAGCATGTAGCCATGGATTATAAAAACTCCAATCCTTAAACGGCAGTGTTAGCGTTTTGAGTTAGCTTTTGCCGACGTGCGTTCCATGAATTGAAATGGGATGCTTAAGTGAACGTAAGAAAAGGGATGGACTCTGTTGACTGTTTTCTCGAAACGAATGAAGACGATATATATCATGTCATCTTCAGAGGCTCTTATTAAGGGAACAGATCTGCTTGGTTCCAATATTCATTTTGACATATTTGCCTGTGGTTCAAAGTTTTCGGGACTTCTGGATTGTTGGGTGTGGTTGTGAAAGAGTGTCGTTTTCTTCTGGGGAAACGGCTGTAATTCATGGAACGAAAGGATCGCTTTGCTTGTGTGGCATCTTCTTCAATGAAGAGTGATTTTTCAACGCAGCTAGCTCTACTATTCCTTGGAGGCTCGCGGCTGAATATTATTCTCTGGCCTAGTCGGTGACAGTGAGATCTCACTTTGCACGAATCGGGAATGCTTTGTATCCGTAGCACCACCCGTGCATTTCTGTGAATCCAAGGCTGGTCGATCCTTTTGACCGAAGCACGACTCAGCATGGGAAGGAGGGTCCTAGAAGAACGATTTGAACAAGGGTCAGCAAATTTGTCTTACCATATCTCAGGTTTTGGCAAATTTTGAATGCCTTCTGAAGATAGAAATCCTAGGTATAGGATGGTTTCGGATGGGCACAATTCGGAAGAATTTTAAAAAAAGTAAAATTTTTTTTATCTATATTAGCATCGGTTACGTCATGTTGGATGGCCAACGGCTAACTAAATTGCCATGTTAGTGAATTCAGGTCAAAATTAGCTTGGAAGGAATACATTAGTAATTCGTTAAAAGGTTTAGGGTTAAATTTGGACAAATGAAAGATTTAGGACTGAATTGATCGCTATACAATAAGTTTAGGATATTTTGGACAATTTTCTCCTTTGATTAGTGTCCAATGTTGCTCGACCTTAAGCCTAGAAGAGATTGGTCCAAAAGATCTCAAGCTCGAACATTAACAATTTTGGGAAAGGATATTAGGAATGTCAAAAGTTGTGTACGGCGATCATTTTAGTGCCAAAAGTTTTCGCCGGCTTACTTAGGGTCTGTTTAGTAACGTTTCTGTTTCTTTATTTTTTTGTTCTTTTGTTTCCCGGAACAGAAAAAGAACAGAAATTCGTTTAGTAAAAAAAATCTACTTTTTTATTTCTGGAACAAAAAAGTGATCATCGAATAGATTTAGAACAGAAACAAAAAGTAAAAAAAATTTACTTCTTTGTTTCTGGAACAAAAACAAGAAATGATTTTTTCTAGATACCTCCAAAAACAAGAAACAATCCGCCGGCCGCAACCTGCCCACCATCGCCTCTTGCCGTCCTTTGCCGCCACCTACCGGCCGCCTTTTGCCACCGCCCGCCGGCCGTCTCCCGCCCGCTGGCCGTCGTCCACTGCCAGTCGCCTCTTGCGGTTGACCTCTGTCCTCCGCCGCCCGACACCTGCCGCCACCCGCCACCGGCCGCCGTCCTCTGCTGCCGGCGGCTGTGCTCCACCGCCCGACGCTCGGCCGCCACCACCGGGGCCGACCGCCTCCCGCCGCCGGCCACCCGATGCCGGCAGTTACCCACCATCGGCCGCCGTCCTCCGCCACCGGCGGCCACCCACCACCGGCCGCCGTCCTCTGCTACCGGTCGTCGTGCTCCACTGTCGGACGCCGGCCGTGTCCTCTGCTATCGGCCGTCGTGCTTCAGCGTCGGACGCCGGCCGCCACCCGGCGCGGCCGGCCGCCACCGCCCCGGCCGCCCTTGGCCGCCGGCCGCCACGGGATGTTGGCGGTCACCCATCACGGGCCGCCGTCCTTTGCTGCCGACCGCCGTGCTCCACCGATTGACGCTGGCCACCCTTCATCGCCAGCCACCTCCCGCTGCCGGTCACCGCCGCCCAATGTCGCAGCGATCCGCCGCCGTGCTCCGCCACCGCTCGACGCCAATCGCCTCCCTCCGCCAACTGCCATCCTTCGCCGCCGCCGGCCGGCCACCTCCCACCGCCGACCACCGTCCTCCGCCCCCCACCCCCACTTGCCGTCCTCCGCTGGCAGCCCAGAAGGGAGAAACTCGTTTATGGAATAGAAATAGATCATTCGCGCCCTAAACGCGTTTCTATTTTTTTTCTATTTCAGGAATAGAAATTTTGTGCAGTTACTAAATGCTATTTTTTGCTCAGAAACTGTTTCAAGAAATAAAAATAGAAAAAACTATTTCTGATTAGAAATTGTTTCTGAGAACAGAAACGTTGCTATGCAGATCCTTTAAGTGCCAAATCGGAGAAAAAACGATGACTTAAGTACCAATGGCAAGAAATTCCGACCAAATTGATTACGTGGCTTTTATAATTAAAATTTTAATCTAAGTTGCTTTTTTAAAGAAAAATCAATCCACGTGGCATTTCCACGTGTATATTTCTCCCTCCACATCATTTTTTTCATTTTTTTTCCCTTTTTTTCTTCTCTTTTCTCCCTTATGCGTCCTGTTGCTCCACACTTCATGAGACGGGCTATTCTCACTGGCACTCACCATCACCACCCAGACCCACGAGTTCCGCCACAACCTCCGACAACCCCTCCACGACCTCAGCTCATCGTCATCGTGAGGGTGTCGCGAGGCTCGGGCGACCCAGGATCTAGGGTCATCTGAAAACAAGGTTAGATTTGGGCTCAAGGATGTTGAATTTGGTGTCCCGAGCAACTCAGTCTTCTTCGTCGGCTCTCTTCGCATCGACTCGATCCTATGCCGGCTCTCTCCGCACTACTCCCAGGCGAAAAACGCTGACGTTCGATTCTTAACGTCACCGTCGCTCCCTCGCCACCGAAAGACACCGCCATCCGCCGTTCGCTACCCGCCATCCATCACCCCCTCCACAGAAAAAAAACTCTCAACCACAGCCAACCTACACATAGCAATTGTCGTCCCATGCATGGCCACCATCAATCATCACACCACCTCAGCCATTTTCTCCAAGGCATCACCCAACCGAGCACCAGCAGAGACATGGGCGGCCACTGGCCATAGATCGAAGCCGCATGCCATTCACAGCCCTCGCTCGTCGCCGGCGAAGCCGCAGTCAGTTTGTCCCTTTTCTGCTCTGTTTTTTGGCAAAAAAGGCTTGAAGAGTTTGGGGATCGCTCGAAGCTCGTTCACTGTGTCAACCACCAGTGACAACTTAAAAGAGATTTTATTTGAAATCTATAACGAGAAGATTTCCGATATTTGAGGAGGCAAAATTGTGAAAGAGATCATGGCTAGCCAAGAGGAGAAATCAACGGGATATTTTTACTCGAAAATATGGTAGGCAAGAGGCAAGATCTTCAAGTGATTGAGCGGGGTTGGAAAGAGAGAAATTAAGGGAAAGAATCAAGAATTTAATGCTCATGGAATGAGCTGGCTATGAAATCGTGGAGGTGATGAGTGAACTTGAGATGTATCTTATAATTATGGCAGCACAATAAATATCTTGTTCTTCCTTATTATGGAGACCTTAGCGGTTGCTCCATCCAAGGAAGAGAATATATCAATCCACTGCATGGATCGGATTTCCTTTTCCGACTAATTATCGAGAACCACTCTGAATGCTGTTGAGTGTCCCTGATACCAAATTGATTTCTTGGTTTCAACCGAATTCTGACGGTCAATGCTCCAACAGGAGCAAAGAATATAGCCACAAAGCCACCGACAGATTTATATGTACGCAAAAACACTTGTGTTAGAGCTACGGAGCATAAAAAAAACCAGTATCTGAATGCTACCATCATGGCATCCGCAATGCAATTTTCCTTGCACAAGAGACAAGCACTTAATGTAATTGTTTTGATTCAATAATTTTGAACTCCCGTTCCATGAATGAACCTGATAGAGAAAAAATGAAAAGACACAATTACAAGCTAGGGTGACGGATCAAGAGTGAGGAGACATTATGTGATATTTGAACTGATCTTCTTTCAATCCTCTTCTGCCAGCTCTCTGTGTTGACTCTGTCGCTTGCACCAGCACAAGTGCCGGTGCGCGCTTGGCACTGAAATGAACACTTTTTAATAACGACCGGCACTGGAGTGATTCCTTTTAACAACAACTAGCACTGAAGTGATTGCTTTAAAAAAAAATTTGGCACTCAAATGATCACTATATACAACTTTTAGATGACGTCGTTTAGGGGTTATATGTTGACTAGGATGCTGGCGAACCACGTAAGACTGAGAAATTAATAAAATATGGTCGCGTCAGATTTCCGACGACCCAAATCGGAGTTGGCACTTAAGTGATCCGAAAAAAATATTTGGCACTAAAATGAGCGCCGTACACAACTTTTAGCACTTCTAGTGTCCTTCTTCCACAATTTTGGCAAATGAGGGAACTCTTTGGGCCAAGACAGGTAGAACCAATTAGGATTCTTGATGGTGAGGGCAAATACTAGATTTTATCATGCCTGCACCATTGCTAGGAGTTCCAGAACTGGCATTAAGGCTCTGAAAGATACCATGGGAAATGGGGTGCATGATGAGAGGGCTATAGCTGGCATGGTTACTTTACTATTCATTTCAGAAAATTTGTTCTGTACTGGAGAGAACTCGTTGTCTTAATGAACCCGGGCTTCCCGTGGCGCGGAGTAATGTTTTATCTGAAGAAGATGCACAGCGTCTCGATGTTCCGGTGGCGGAAGAGGAAGTTAAGAACGCGCTTTGAAATCCGAAACCTCGCAAAGCACTCGGACTGGACCGGACCGGACGGGCGCCATGCTGTTTTCTATCGGAAGTTGACGGAGTTTGGTGAGGGACTCTCTTTCGGAAATCGTTAAGAGCGATTTTTCGAAGCGGTGTCATCCCTAATTACATCAACGGACGGTTTGCTTACTCTTATTCCTAAGAAATAAGGGTCCCGTTTGGTTCAGCATTTGAAATGAGCATTTGGGCTCTAAAGTCTCTTGGCCAAATGCAAATGCGTTTGGCAATTTTTTTGGAGCACTTTGGGGAAATGCAATTGCATTTCCAAATGACTCTAAAGGCCTTTAGCCCAAGGCAGGTTCAGAGGTATTTTGGCAAGTTGCACTTTCGGAATGCAAGTTCAAGCACTACTGTTCATCTTCTCCAATCAGCAGGTCCGGCGGCCGGCGATCGCCGCTTGAGGGGTAGTGTGACCCCCAGGCGACCGCCGCCTGAGGTCGCTGGACCTCAGGCGTCGCTTGGGTTGCGCGTCCCAAGCGAAGCTTGAGGTCGCACGACTTCAGGCAGTCACGCCTGAGGTCGCGCGATCTCAAGCCGCCTCGCCTGAGGTCAGGCGGCGGTGCCCAGCGATTAGATCTGGCTGGCGGCGGTGGCCGGTGGTTGAGCTCAACTGGAAACTTTTTTTTAAAAAAAAAAAAATTAGCAAAAGTTCTTTATAAAATATAATTTTTACCAAATGATATTTAGGCCGAAGTTGCTTTCAAATTTAATTTTAAAAAACGCTTACCAAACACTACTTGCATTTTGGAAAACCCCTTTAGCCCAAAGGTCTTTGCATTTTGCCAAAGACATTCCCCCAAAGTCGAACCAAACGGGCTCAAGATCCCGAAGATCTCAATCACTCCGGACCTTTCTTCTTATGCTACGCATCTTACATAATGGTGGAAAGATCCTTGTTCGAAGACGCAGACCTATTCCGGACGGAAAAAGTCCTTATAGGGCAGAATTGAATGGTAGGAAGACTTAAGAGTAAAAAAGAGTCTTAATGGCAATGAAGATTCGATATAACAAAAGCTTATAATAGAACGGAAATGGGACATCGCTACGAGGGCCGCAGCAGGTTCGGACGGCACACTGTGTTCTGGGAAGCCAACAGGATCGCGGATGCTATGGCAAAGCGAGGCCGACATCGATAGAGATGAACCGCAGTTTTCTAATGATTCCTCGCGTAGAAGCGGATAGGATAGGAGCCGGGGACATTGGCTAAGCCGTGGTCGTGAAGTTTTTCCTTATGTTCTGCCTAAAGAAACGGAGAAAATTCAAAGAAGCCCGCGCTTGCAAATGTTATATACTTGGAAAAAGGCCCCACTTTTATGAAGCGTATCTCTTTTTGGTCGTCCTCTGTTTTTCTTGTAAAAGCATCTCTCTTCGGCGTTTTCGGGCAAAGAGAGGCTGATGCACCGGAGCCCGCCTGAATGGAAACTATCCCCCTTTACCCCTTGAAATTTCGTCGGTCGCGCATCGTTTTCGTCTCGTTGCGAAGGACGAAGACGTGGGAAAATGACGCTGCATCTTCCCAGAGACCTGGACTTTGGTTGGCCTCCTAGGACCTCTACGTAGTTTCCAGCGCAAACAGCTTCTCCCCTCTGTCCTTTAGCTTCATTTCTTATCCGCCAACCTATGTCTCGACACTTTCCGCGTGCTTTCTAAGGATTTTGTCCACAATAAACTTCAGCTTTCTTTCTCGAATCCGATCCGGGCCAACTGCTACATTGTTCTTTCGCCTTTTCGGCTAATCCTCCGTCCAGTTTTGTTGAAAATCGCAGTTGGAATGTCCGAGTTAAAAAGTTTTGAGCCATTAGGAAACACGTGAATGATCCGTTTATAAGGACATCCAATTGAACGTAAGACAGATGATTATTGGTCTGAGTCGGACCTTGCACAATGAACCAAATGTGAACCACATCGATGCCAAATTTGACGGAATCGCTGAAGAGACGGATAGGGGAGACCGAAAAGTCAATATGTTTCTCTTCCTCAAGCAATGAGTTTGAGAGGGGAGTGCCGGCATCTGAAATTTTGAACCGTGCCTCGATACCGTATTGGAATGTCCAGCTTAATAGCTTAAACTTTTAGGAAGGAGACCGGCAATACATTTATAGCAGATTACTTTACAATCACATAATAATCAGCAATAGAAATCCTTTCATTTGTTTCAAATTTATAAGGGTTTGTCACGCTATCTACCAAACTTTCAATGGAAATCGTCCCGGCTTTTCTTGCCACATGGGAGGATCAAACGAAAGGTCGGTAGCATCGACTAAAATTCAAAAGCCAACAGAGACAAGACCGGAAGGGAAAGTCTTTCTATAAGTATTCCTCATCTGATCTCCTCGCATTATGCCTCTGTAACCACTCCAACTCTCTCTCCTCTTGTCCATTCAATAATATCACACGCACACAGAAGAACAAAGAAAATTATGGGCAGCATCTGCACTTCCAAAGAGGTTGAAAGAGAGCTCCCTACACTTCTGAGGGTTTACAAGGACGGCACGGTCGAGCGCCTCTCTGGTAATGTCTGGTTCTGCTCCGTCTTAGCACTGAAGTCTAGTGTTTGGACGGTGGATGAACCCTTTTCTGGAAAGAATAAGGTTTCATTGTAACACTCTGTCGAGAAAAGAACTCCAATTTTCCCCCTAATACGGCGATATGCGCGAATTGAGTCTTTTTATTAGCTTGTTACTCGTAATTTCGGTAGATTTTGTCTACATGACATGATTCAAGTCGCGTGAATCGTCGAACTTTGCTCCATTTTCAGGCACTCCATATGTCCCGCCTTGCTTGGAGGACCCCAAGACCGGCGTCGCGTCGAAAGACATCACCATTCGCGAGGACCCTCTCATCCGAGCAAGACTCCATCTCCCAAAACTCGAACCTGTTGATGAACAGCCTCAGAAGCTCCCTGTCTTGGTCTACTACCACGGCGGCGGCTTCTGCTTCGAATCCGCCTTCTCTCTGGTCGAGCATCAGTATCTCACCACCCTTGTCGCGGAAGCCAAGATACTCGCCGTCTCCATTGAGTACAGGTTTCTTCTAATTTATACACACAGAAACTTCAAGAAAAGGACTTTTTTCTTCTAAGAAGACGACATGTATGCGTATATATAAAGTTTAGTTTTTGATAATCTCATTTTAAATTAAGCCTTTATCAAACTTGACTAGTTTTTGGGGAAACTCACGTTCTCGTATACACATCTCACGTTCTCACAGGTTAGCTCCCGAATGCCCTATACCCTCCATTTACGATGACTGCTGGGAAGCCCTCCAGTGGGTGGCTTCACACTCGGTCGAAGGTGGAGCCGCCGTGAAAGAGCCGTGGCTGGCTGACCACGGCGACTTCCGCCGTGTCTTCATTGCCGGCGACAGCGCTGGAGCCAACATCGCCCACAACGTCCTCATGAGGGCCGGCCGCGACACTATAGTTGGTGGCATAAAGATATCCGGCGCTTACCTGACCCACCCCTACTTCTGGGGCTCTGAACCTATCGGGTCGGAGCCTAAGACAGATCACGACAAGGATCTTCCGCACTTGGTCTGGACTTTCTTGTACCCGACGGTGAAGGACGGGATCGATAGCCCGATGATCAACCCGCTTGCGACCGGGGCCCCTAGCCTGGCGGGCCTCGGGTGCGGGAGGTTGTTGGTGAGCGTGGCGGAGAAGGACCTGCTGAGAGATAGAGGGTTGAAGTACTGCGAGGCAGTGAAGGAGAGTGGGTTCAAGGGAGAATTGGAGGTGGTGGAGGTCGAAGGAGAAGATCACGCTTTCCATATCGTGACTTATGAGAAGGAGAGCGCCCTGGTCCTGATCAAACGGCTGGCTGCTTTTCTCAACAAAAGTTGCTAGCTTGTTTGCTCCATTTTCGTTTGACCTTTTACAAGGTTGTTCATGTGTGCCTTGTCAACATCAGTTCCTGGAAAAATGGAAACGTAAGCGTTGATTTCGCTGTTCTATGTATCGTATGGACTGTTGCGATGTTTGTTACAGTTTCAAAGACCAAGTTGCATCCCGAGATAACTTTTAGGGATCGGAATCATCTCAGCACGTAAGGCAGTGAATCTGTGTTCTTAATACGTCCATGGTAAAATTGTCACATCTGTCTTTCGAAGAATTCGAATAGATCAGGGTCATTGGAAGTTACTCTATGGGCCTATTTATTCTCGGTCGGGTCTCCACCACTCCCCCCTCCACCTCAATTCCCTCGCCACCCGGTCGAACCGTTTCTCAGAATTCTTCTTATCGAACCAACATTTCACTGTAGTTATTATTGGATGTGATAAGTACGTACGAACTAGATGCACACGAGGGCAGCCTTCACGGTTGCTTTTGTCCCTTCTCCATGTAGGAGGAAATTACAAAAAAGAGTTATAAAGTTACTGTACTTGTGTCAATTCAGTCCTAAACTTTTTAGTTGTGTCTATTGAGTTCTAAACATTTTCATATTTTGTTGATTGAATCTATCCGACCATCTTAACTAGAAATCGTTGACGTGGACGTTGGAATGCCACGTAGGATGACCGGCGCTGATGTATACAATTTTTTTTATAATTTATTTATTTATTTTTTCTACCAAGTTTGTGAGGGTTTCGCTTCGGATACCAGAGTCTCACTTCGCACCAGCTTCCTCTTATTTACATCCTTACGCGAACTGTGAGAAGATAATTGAATCTCTTCATCGCTTAGAGAAGAAACTGTTGAGTCAAGTGAACAGGCAACTCCGTTGTTCATTGCCCTTCTTTTGCAGACCAGTTGGTGAAGCCAGAACGACAGTTCAACAATGTAGGGGTCAGTTTTCTCCTTATCAGCGTGATATAGAGTATTGATTCTGATGAAGTCACCCTTGCCAGTGGGTCTCTGGTTAACTCTGGACCTATAAAGAAATATTATTTAGTAATCTTGATGATGTTGAAAGGCAAGAAAACATCGAAGGTGGGCACATGAAGGTCTAAGCTTAAGTACCTCATATTTGCCCATTCTCCCAGTCTCGCAAAGCCATAGTGTGTTCTAGTTCAAACAAATTAAAAACGGAGTTACGCAATATGTGTTAATCATGCATCGAAACTTCGGAAAGCAAACAGTATGAGAGGCAGAATTATTCGCATCAGAAGTACAACCCAAGCGCTAAAATTGTTCGATGGAGGAAGACTACATGCATACAAACCCATGACAAACCTTATAAACAAGCTCTGCGAGAAGACAATCTAAAATTCAAACATAACCAATGGTAAAGACATGTCATTGCTCAAGTTTATATCCCAATTTGTCATAAACCTGCAGATGCTTTTGCAACTTCCTTGATTGTGCTAGCAGCAATCGGAGCAAGCCACGACAATGTCTTCTCCATTTTAGCTTTAATAATTGGAATTGTAGGATGCACAGACACCACACATGATGGATACCCCAGATGAGGAAATCATATTCTGTTGAGAACTGGTCCCCGGCAATATATGCATAAATATATCTAGGTACATTCTGTAAAAAACGATTACATAAGATACATCAACTACCTCTTCCTGAATCTGAACTTGCCGGAGCCAAAAGCGCAGAGCTGACTTTATACCTGGGGGCAGACTTTGGTACAATGCATTTGTCATTGTTGGAGTTACAGAGCCCGAATGAGCCGTCTAATTGGAATCGAAGTTATATGGGTCAAAAAGGATGATACGGAGTCCATCTTTAGCTCTGACCAAAAACGAAAAAAGTCCATCTTTAGCACCAAAGGAAATCAGTAATGGATTCCTCAAGCACTTATCTTGCTATTTCAGCCTGGCCGAACGTGAAAATGTTTAGAATTTAATTGGCACAATTGAAAAGTTTATGACTTAATTGGCATAAGTGCAATGGGTTTAGGACTTTTTTGGTAATTTTACCCTCCACGTAGCCTCTAAAGTGAAGTATATGTCACATATTGATTTTGATAATGAGGCCTCGCCCCTTACAATATCTTGTACAGAACAATTCGTTAATCATGTCCACGACTAGAGGCTACACAGATTGGGATGGTGTCCCCACTTTGGTCTTTGAAAGTTTGGTAGCGTCTAGCTTTAGAAGAGATTGAAATGAGAATCGTCGTTACTAATTCTCTATTATAACCGAACCCTAGGAGAAGGGGAAACGTGGGTGGCTCCGTAGATATCTAGTACTTATAAAATGAATTTCTATATGACTCCTTCTAGATATCTAGTACTTACAAAATGAATCAGACTCATGGTTGTTGAGCAACGAAAAGAGGTAGTTGTCATTGTCCTCGTTTTCTCGAAGCCGGTCAAAACGGGTAAGTAAAGTTGCAGGGTCGTACGTAGGAGTTCGACTCTTGGGTGACATTGTGGTTACAACTGGAGTAAAGAAATGCTTGACGTACAAAGATGTATCGCCAGGAGCTTGAAAGGCGAACAGGCTAAGGAAGACAAAAATGTCATCTCGGGCTCGACTAACGATCAACTTGAAAAGGGGCAGCCACCCTGAAAATCAGTTCACAGACTGACAGCCGATAAAGGTAATGCGCAAATCCCATTAATCGCGTGACGCGTCCAATTAAGACGGGTTCGAACGAACCGTCAAGGGAACCACGAAGCATGACCGGCATTTCGTATGAGATTTTACAGAGAAACAATTGATATTCTTACGTAATTAAAACAATAAAAATATTTTAATTTTTTAAAAATGGGGCATATGTTGACACCCAAATATAACCCAAACTGTGATGGATCGATAGAAGTTCATATTGAGTCGTTGATAGGGCAATCGGTAAGTATGATCACAAATTCATGACTAATGCAGATCAGTGTTACGTGGTCGATAATGTTAACAATGAAAACTAGTCGAGTAAGGTTAGTTATGGACATAAGATGACGTCATGAGGTCGACATTGTTATCAATGAAAGTCGATCAGCGAAGACTAGTTATCGACATACGGTGACTAATATGGCCGATTATGTTATCGATGAAAGGTGATTGAGTAGAGCAGTTATCGGTATACAGTGGCAAAGGGCCGATCGCAGCAACATAAAGGAACACTACAAAGTGAAAACTGAATGGGAAGATGTTCTGTGAACTGTAACCATTTATGGATAAGAACGTGTGGTTGGGGGAAGTCAAGTTGAGGCCTAGAATCTCGGGAGTACTTCGAATTAAAAATTTGAAAAATAACTGCTCTGTGACAGTTATATTTTGTACAAGTCTATACAAGGCCAAGCCAAATCAGATGTAGAGGATCTGAAATCAACAACATATATTCAAATTTCTGCAATTCAGTTCAGTTTTCCAATTTATCATTCTTATTCGCAATTCTTTGTTCTTTCAATTTTGTTAGCATTAGTAATTGTTCCACATGCATTATTTCCTATCCGAATCACCTCAGAACCCAATTCACTCAAAAAACCGAAGATCCAACCTTTGGTCAAAGGTCTTTCGTCGATAATTATTTTCGGCAAAACAGGAGCCTTACTAGCAGTCTACTGTATCTCACTGCTACATGGCTATACCGAAGATCCGCTCGATCCCGCCTGACTGGAAACTATTCTTTTCCCCTTGAATTTTCATCGGTCGTGTGCCATTTTCGCCTCTTTTTGCCAAAAGAAGACGTAGACTTTCGATGGCCTTGGACCTTTACGTGGTTTCCAGCGCAAACAGCTCCCCCTATCTGTCCTTTAGCTTAATTTCTTTTACACCAAGCCATCTCTTGACATTTTCCGTGTGTTTTCTAAGGATTTTGTCCACGATAAAAATCAATTTTCTTTCTCGAAGAAGTTATTAGCCAGCGAGCTAATGCGCGGGCCAACTGTTATAATATTCTTTCGCCTTTTCAGCTAATCGTCCCTCTAGTATGGTTGAAAATCGCAGTTCGAATGTCCAACTTAAGAGTTTTAAGCCGTAATGAAACATGCCAATGATCAATTCATAAGGACATCTAATCGAATGTAAGATGATAATTATCGTGTGGGTCGGATCTTACACGACAAATTGAATGTAAACCACATCAATGCCGAATTTGACATAAGTGTTTAAGAGACAGATCAAGCCGAAAAGTCGATACATTTCTCTTCCTCGAACAATGAGATTGAGAGGGGAGTGCTGGCATTTGAACTCTTGATCCGTGCTTTAGTATCATGTTATAATGTCCAACTTAACACAGCTTTAGTCCGTTGAGGAATGGGCCACCGATATATTTACATTACTTCAAAATCACAAAATAATCAGCCTAAAAGTCTATTCATTCTTTTTTAGTTCATTAGGGTTTGTCACGCTTTCTTACAAACTTTAAATGTAAACCGTCCCGGCTTTTGTTGCCATATGGGAGGACCAAAATTCAAAGGGAAAATACCACAAAAAACTTTAAACTATGCCACTTTTGATAAATTTACCTTGAACTTTTTTTTGTGACATAAAAAACCCCAAATTATGCCACATGTGATAAATTTATCTTAAACCTTTTTTTGTGACACGAAAAACCCTAAATTATGCCACTTGTGACACATTTACCCCACAATACTTTGGCCCATGGGCATTTTCGTCTTTTTCCTTTTTCTTTTTTTTTTTCCTTTTTTTTTTCTTCTCTCTCTTCCCTCCGCCGGCCATGGCGGAGGAAAGTCGATGAGGGCTGCCTTCACCGGATCTAGCGTCGAGCGACTCTCGCCCAACGTCGGCGAGGGTTGCCCTCGCCTGACGTCGGCAAGGCCGACAGAGGGAAGAGAGAGAAAAAAAGAAAACAAGATAAAGGAAAAAAATAGAAAAAGGAAAAAGACGAAAATGACCATGGGCCAAAGTATTGTGGGGTAAATGTATTACAAGTGGCATAGTTTGGAGTTTTTCGTGTCACAAAAAAGTTCAGGGTAAATTTGTCACAAGTGGCATAGTTTGGGGTATTTCGTGTCATAAAAAAAAGTTTAGGGTAAATTTGTTACAAGTGGCATAGTTTGGGGTTTTTGATGGTATTTTCCCAAATTCAAATGCCAACAAGGACAAGACCGGAAGAGAAGACTTTCTGTAAGTACTACTCATCTACTCTCCTCACATTAAGCCTCTATAACCACTCACTCCAACTATTTCTCCTCTTGTCCATTCAATACGCCTTCTTTTCCTTCTGAAAAAGCAAAACTCACACACTGTATCACACACAAAAAGAAAATTATGGGCAGCACCTGCACTTCCAAAGAGGTTGAAAGAGAGCTCCCCACATTTGTTAGGGTTTACAAGGACGGCACGGTCGAGCGCCTCTCCGGTAATGTCTGTTTCTGCTTCATCTTACGACTGAAGTATCGTGTTTCGACGATGGACGAACCCTTTTCCGGAAACAACAAGGTTTCATCGTAATACTCTGTGGTGAAAAGGGAGTCCAATTTTCCCCTTAATACGGAATGCGCGAATTAGGTCTTTTTATTAGCTTGTTACTCGTAATTACTGGAGATTTTGTCTACATGACATGATTCAAGTTGCGTAAAATCGTCAAACTTTGCTTCATTTTCAGGCACTCCATATGTCCGGCCTTGCTTGGAGGACCCCAAGACCGGCGGCGCATCCAAAGACATTACCATTCGCGAGGACCCTCTCATCCGAGCAAGACTCTTTCTCCCGAAACTCGAACCTGTGAATGAACAGCCTGAGAAGCTGCCCATCTTGGTCTACTACCATGGTGGCTTCTGCGTCGACTCCGCCTTCTCTCTGGTCGAGCATCAGTATCTCACCACCCTTGTCGCGGAAGCCAAGATACTCGCCGTCTCCATTGAGCACAGGTTTGTTCTTAATTTATACACAGAGAAACTTCAAGAAACAGACCTTTTTCCTCATTTGCAGAAAAACGAGCAACTTTATTTACACAATTATTTAATAGAGTTGAAGGGATTATGTAGTTATAGTATCACTTTCAATGCTAAAAAGACGACATGTATGCGTATATATAAAGTTTAGTTATTGATAATCTCTTTTTAAACTAAGCCTTTATCATTAGAACCCTTTCAAGATAATAATATTATCTTGTGTCCATTGTCATGTCGTACCGAGGATGGTTGAACATGAGATGTGGACATGAGAACAAGCTAAAAAGTTCTCAACTATTCAACATTGTTCATGTAAATTTCTTTGTGTTCCTACACCTCAACAATAAGTCCGATTGATAAGTTTCCCCAAAAACTAGTTAAGTTTGATAGAATGATAATGGTGTTTATCCAAGTGTGATAAAGAATAGTAATCATGCTTACTCATTTTCTCACAGGTTAGCTCCCGAATGCCCTATACCCACCATTTACGACGATTGCTGGGAAGCCCTCCAGTGGGTGGCTTCACACTCGGTTGATGGTGGAGCCGCCGCGAAAGAGCCATGGCTGGCTGACCATGGTGACTTCCACCGTTTCTTCGTCGGCGGTGACAGCTCTGGAGCCAACATCGCTCACAACGTCCTCATGAGGGCCGGCCGCAACCCTATAGTTGGCGGCATAAAGATATCTAGCGCTTACCTGACCCACCCCTACTTCTGGGGTTCTGAACCTATCGGGTCAGAGCCTAAGACGGATCGCGACAAGGGGATTCCGCACTTATTCTGGACTTTCTTGTACCCGACGGCGAAGGACGGGATCGATAGCCCGATGGTCAACCCGCTCGCGACT